TTCTTCGCCTTGTCACTTTCCATTAGTCTAAACCAGTGAGATTCTATTCACTGAGACTTAAGCTGGAAACATGAACAAACAGACTTTTCTTGGGCAGAGGGAAAAGGAGATGATGATTTAGGGGAGGCTGGGGGGAGGTGGGAGAGAGATTTCTTTACATTTCTGTGTAGTGCCTGATATGTGTATAGTACACTAGTGGAGCTAAAAACTGAAATATATAAATAGTCATGCAAAAGTCAGCCTAGGAAAAATAGCAGAGACTCAGATTCCTTAAATCTGTAATATGCTCAAGCCATAAATCTAAAATATGAAGAGGAGATGAGCAGATGGTGACAATAAAAAAATAAATAAATAAAAATATAGGCTGGGCACAGTGGCTAACACCTGTAATCCCAGCACTTTGGGAGGCTGAGGCAGAAGGATCAGTTGAGCCCAGGAATTGGAGACCAGCCTGGGCAACATATGAGACCCTATCTCTAAAAAAAAAGAAAAAAAGAAATCGATCATAAACATTATTCAATCCACAGCTCATTTGCTCTCACATACTTCCTCTTTATTCATATACTACACTGATCAGTAGCCAAGTCCACTAAAGAGAAATCAGCAAGCAAGCAGGGACATAAGTTGGATCAAGCAGACAAACCCCACGCAACAGAGATGACAAAAAGTGGGTTTTTCATTGTCTTGCTTAGAATACTAGGAGAAGAGGCTACATTACCACTGCCACTATGTGTACCACATCTAACTGAATAAAATCCGTGCCTAGAGAATTACACAACTTAAAAGACAAGTGACCAAATTATATCAAAGGTTACACTGGAACCCAGAATCCCAGGATGAAGTGGACAAAAGTATGCTCATCTGGCAGTTCCATAAACACAAACTTAACTAAGTCACTAACCTCTGCCAACCAACCAAACACTAGGTAACAACTCATTCTGGTGATAAATAGTTAAGCACAAGAACTAGCCAATTCTCACCAGACAATGTACCCAGCTGCAATTCCAAGATGTGGAACTGTTCACTAGAACACTAAGTTCTAGAAAAAAAGAATCCTTACTTTTCTTATGTCTTACTCCTTTTCCTCCAACTTCTTTCCTTTCATAGATTTACTCTGAAACTGTTTATATTTTCTACAATTATTAAAAAAAATTCTCAGCTACAGATTAACAGTGGTGCAAGTATATGGTCTGACAAGTAATTTCTATGCCACTTCCAAGTATGAAAGCTGTGTGGGAGATATAAGCTAGATATGAGTTGTCCAATACAGTAGCCACTAGCCACAAATGGCTTTGTAAAATAAGTTTTATTGGACAGTGCTGGTGTAGACAGCAAAACATCAGCATTTCTGGGACACTGTGATGCTTTACGGGACAAAACAGACCAAACTGTTCAAATTAGGATGGTTCTGAAAATCAAGACTTATAACCAATGTAAATGGGGCCTATACTCAAAGAGGACATCTCAAAAGGTCACAAATCTCCAAGTAAAGTAGTCCCTAGAAACCATACATATGCTACTAAAGTGCTACTTAAAATATAGTCTGCCTCCTGGTGCTAGTCTCCAAACTGTTTCTTACCAGTGTGTAAAGGTCCAGAAATTGAAAATGTTAAGAAACTTTCAGAATAATTTAATACTGTTGTAACATTTTAATTGCATTTTATAAAAGTTATCACTCTGCAATAATCAAAAAAATTTTTAAACTAGTTTTTTGCCACAGATAATTTCAGAAGCACTACTCTAGCACATACGCAAATAAAAAAATATGCTATACATATTGGCAATCAATGTTATTAGAGAAGGAAGCTCAGAGCCAGAGTTCTGCCAATTACCATTATTGTATTACAACCCTCCAGAGACTTAAAATGGGTGCTGAAATCTTATCAATGATCAACAAAAACTAAAATTGAGTCAAGTTAATTGACTCAATTTTAAGGCCATAAAGGCAATTTACCAACAGAACTGAACTAAAAAAAAGGAAGAAAACCAACATTTATTGAGGGTCAAAGTAGCACTGTTAGGTAATTTCGAATACTGTATACAATTTTTATTTTTAAAGACAGAGTCTAGGCCATGTGCAGTGGCTCACGCCTGTAATCCCAGCACTTTGGGAAGCCAAGGTGGGTGGATCACTTGAGACCAAAAGTTTGAGACCAGCTTGGACAATATGGAGAAACTCCATCTTTACTAAAAATGCAAAATTAGCTGGGTGTGGTGGCGCACTCCCATATTCTCAGCTACTCAGGAGGTTGAGGTGGGAAAAATCACTTGAACCCAGGAGGCAGAGGTTGTAGTGAGCTGAGATCGCACCACTGCACCACTGCACTGCCTGGGTGACAGAACAAGACCCTGTCTCAGGAAAAAAGAAAAAAAAGAGACCCAGGCTGGAGTGCAGTGTCACTATCATGGCTCACTGCAGCCTCAAACTCCTGGGCTCAATTAATCCTCCTACCTCAGCCTCCCAAAATCATGGGATTTCAGGCATAAGACATTGCACCTGGCCCTGTATCCAATTATTCACTCTTCCCAATCAGGTTGCTAGGTATTGCTCTAAGTCTTACAGATGAGGATCAAAGAAGTTCAGTAATTTGCTCAAAGTCACAAAGTTAATATATGTATCTGTTTTACTCAGTCTCCTGTGGATTAAAAATGAAAAAAGGTCAAAGAAAGAGAAAAAGTCTAGGGAAGGGAAGAGAAAGACCTGCTATTCCTGTAATGAAATACTATAAAAATAACACAGGTATATAGTATAGCATTCATGGACAAATTCTTCTCAGCAATGTGTAGTAGGAGTTATGAGCTATGTAGTAAGAGAGATGATGTTCAATTTTGTAGATTCTGAAGGAACACAGACAATTCCTTAGAAGATGGAGTGAATTTTTACTGCTGGGGTTCTCAGACATCTAGCCCTCATATAAAAGAGGAGAAGACAGACGAGAACTAGGGCCACAGATCCAAGGCATCCTTCCCCTTGGCCATCTGGCACAACACAAGTGACCTTTGGTTTATAACAGCCCTTCCCAATTAAGGTGCATGTGGCTTAAGAATCACATACTCTGCCTCTCAACTCCAAATTTTTTCTTACTTCACATAAATGAGCAAGTATTCCCACTGAGCATAGATGGTCTCAGCATCATGCTAGGCACACGGACCTGATGCTATATTTCTGGTTAATATAAAAAATGATAACCCAGGCCAGGTGCAGTGGCTTACACCTATAGTCCCGCATTTTGGGAGGCCAAGGCAGGAGCATGGCTTGAGGCCAGAAGTTCGAGACCAGCTAGGCAACACAGGGAGACCTCGTCTCTTAAAAAAAAATTCAAAAAACTAGCCAGGCATGGTGGCACACGTCTGTGGTCCCATCTACTCAGGAGGCTGAGGTGGGAGGCTTGCTCGAGCCTGGGAAATGGAGGCTGCAATGAGCTGTGATCATGCTACTGCACTGCAGCCTGGGTGACAGAGTGAGAACCTGTCTCAAAAGAGATTGGGAAAAAAAAAAAAGTTAACCTAAATGGAAGATGGAACAAAGTTGTACACAAGTGTTCCATAGTGGCACAATAATGATTACTTTTAGTGTTTAGTTTTTTTACTAAGCAAAACATATAACCAATGTCAGATAAGTTTCTTCCAATGGCTTTCTAGAGAGCTAAATACTTTTATGCTGAGTTGGAAATAATGATTTTTTTCTTTTTTTTGAGACGGAGTCTCACTCTGTTGCCCAGGCTGGAGTACAGAAGCATGATCTCGGCTCACTACAACCTCCGCCTCCGGGGTTCAAGTGATTCTCCTGCCTCAGTCTCCCAAGTAGCTGGGATTAAGGCATGTGCCACCACGCCCGGCTAATTTTTGTAGTTTTAGTAGAGACAGGGTTTCACCATGTTGGCCAGCCTGGTCTCGAACTCCTGACCTCAGGTGATCCGCCCGCCTCGGCTTCCCAAAGTGCTAGGATTACACGCGTGAGCCACTATGCCCGGCCGATTTTTTTCTTAAATGATGGTTTTTCTGGTTTCAAATACCCTGCCACCACTTTGACAACCAAGAAACACGTTTCTGTTCTAAACAACAAAGATTAAGAGATCACCTGCTCTAGGCAAATAGAAAAATCCTTATCATTTTATCCAATGTGCCTAGCAAAACTACAAAGGCAACTATGCCCTGGGGAACCAATCATCCCACACAGCATGAAGTAAACAAAGTCATCTTGCTTAATAAAGTAAATAACATCAGTTAGCACAGGGGCATAAAGAATGAGTTAACTTTTTTATTTTTGTTCCACCAATCCTCCAAGTTTTATTTCTAAGTACTTCTGACCTAAAAACAAGACTATCTTCTCCTGATTATTTAATTCCCATTATGCCTATTATCAAAGTTAAAGTAGTTGTAATAAGTTTTAACTTCACTGAATTCAACATCTTAACCAACAGAAATATAGACCATACTCAGGCTGGGTGCAATGGCTCACGCCTGTAATCCCAGCACTCTGGGAGGCAGAAGTGGGTGGATCCCTTAGGCCCAGGAGTTCGAGACCAGCTTGTGTAACATAGCAAAATCTCGTCTCTACCAAAAATAGAAAAAAATTAGCTGGGCATGGTGGCACGCGCCGCAGTTTTAGCTACGTAAGAGGCTGACATGGGAGGATCACCTGAGCCCAAAGAGGTCAAGCCTGCAGTGAGCCATGATCATACCACTGCACTCCAGTCTGGCAACAGAATGACCCTGTCTCAAAGGGAAAAAAAAAAAGAAAGAAAAGAAATATAGACCATGCTCTAGCAGCCTGGGTGAAAGCTATGAAAACAATCCACGGGAAAAAGAAATCGGCTTGTGAAATAATTCCTATAATATAATCAAGAGCCAGCGAGAGGAGGTGACAGTCAAACGAGTATGTGAAATGAAATGCTTTGTAGCCAGTTACATTCTCAGGAGGGTCATTTCCAGACTACGTAGTTCCCATAAGCTGCTCTAATGTCACGAAAACATTACTTCCATCGAACCTACATTACCTTTCTGGAGATTGAAGAGACATTCAAACCAAATCTTTGAGCTCTTTCCTTCAGCTTATCCAAGTTAACCTATAAAAACATGGGGGAAAGAACACAGTTTCAAAAAATCAAAACAGAAAACAAAAAATGCAGAAACTATAGTCTGAAGCTAAGAGTTCAAACAAGCCTATAACATGAAAGATACCCTATGAGAAAAATAAGAAAACTAAGCAGCAACTGTCCAGTCCACTGATTATTAAAAGGCCTCCTCTGGAATGCAGTGAAACATTCAGTCCTGCCTCCTGCATTTATCACAGGTGTCAATAGCCTAAGGAGGGCTTAAGATCAAGGGAAGGCAAACACTGCTGGAGAAAGCAAACACATGTCTAAATCATCACCTCCAAACAAGTCTACCATTCTCAATCCAAAATCATTAATTCTCATATCGTCTCTGCAAGTATTTCTTAAATCTGTCTCCAAGCAAAGAGAAACCATCACAGAAGCACCTTTTTCAGAAGACAATCTACAACCACTACCCACTCGATTCTCTTCCCTCCTCTTTCTTGGAAACCTTGGTACATGGACTCATTACTATTGTAAGAATTATTTAGGGCCGGTGCGGTGGCTCATGCCTGTAATCCCAGCAGTTTGGGAGGCTGAGGTGGGCAGATCACCTGAGGTCAGGAGTTCGAGACCAGCCTGGCCAACATGGTGAAACCCCGTCTCTACTAAAAATACAAAAATTAGCCAGGCATGGTGGGGGGGCACCTGTAATCCCAGCTACTTGGGAGGCTGAGGCAGAATAATTCCTTGAACCTAGGAGGCAGAGGTTGTAGTAAGCTGAGACTGCACCATTGCACTCCAGCCTGGGCAACAAGAATGAAACTCCATCTTAAAAAAAAAAAAAAGAATAGGAAATTTTCATTAATAATATTAAACCTTAACTTACAATATTAAGCAGCAACCCCTAAAGCAGGATTTCATAAAGCTGATTCTAACCACAGTATTCGTTACCATTCTTAAAATATGCTGACTAGTAACAACGGTCCAGAAAGCCATTTTATTCTACCATTCTTTACTATGATTTCACATTTCATGGATAGTATTTAAAAAATTAAAAAAAAAAAAAAAAAAAAAGCACTATCTACAAACAGAACTCCTAAATTGCTTCCACAGATTCTCTTGTGGTAATTATGAATTAGACATTATCTAAGGCCATTGGACAAGGATTCAGTACCATAAAACAAAGAGTTACATACACGGGTTGTTCTCTAGCTAACAAAATCTATTCTTACTTTCGAAAAGAGTGGTAGGAAGAAAGACGTCTGCAGTAACTGAACATGTGACAATTTTCCTGACCTCTCAGTATCTCCAACAATTTTTTAAATTCAGGACATATAACATTATACTGAAAACAGTCAACAAATTAATGTTCTCAGCGTTTCTTCTAATCTGGTGAGGAGTCTCTAAAGTTAGCTATACAGAATTAAGATCTGGGTGTGTAAGAAATAAAAAAAGATTTCTTACCATAGGTTTGTTATCAGATGACAGACCTAAGGAAGTAAACAAAATTTTATTTAATATTTTTAAAAGTCATAAAAGCCGACAGTCTTCAAGTCAAATTAGGCAACATAAAAACTGTATACAGGACACACCCCCTTTATCCTATGATGACAAAGAAAAGGCAGAAATTCCATCTAGCAATCATGTCTGCATTAACTGCTAGCAGGAACATAAAACGGTACAGTTGCTCTGGAAAACAGTTTGGCAGTTTCTCAAAAGGTAAATACAGTTATGTATGATCCCACAATTCCACTGCTAGTATACAGCCAAGAGAAAACGAAAACATATAATTACACAAAAACTTGTACATAAATGTTCACAGCAGCATTATTCATATTAGACAAAAAGTTAAAGAAAAACACCCATCAACTTGATGACTGGCTAAATTAAGTATAGTATATCCATACAATGTAATATTATTAAATAATAAAAATGAATAGAGATACATGCTACAACATAAGTGAACCTTGAAAACTATGCTAAGCGAAAGAATCCAGTCACTAAAGACAATATACTATATGAATTCATTCATATGAAGGCAAATTTCCATGGAGAAAAAAACTAAGCGGCTGCTTAGGGCTGGGCAGGGAGAGGTAAAGGAGGATATCTGCTAATGGGCACAGTTTCTTTTTGGGGTGATAAGCACGGTGATGATGGCTGCACAACCCTGTGAATATACTATGGAATAATGAATTATATACCTTTAAATGGATGAATTGTTACATCATATAAATTGCATCTCTCTAAAGCTCTTAAAAAAGAGATCACATCTGGACAAACAAGAACTACTATCACGAGTTGAAACTTTGGCTCCTGGGCCGGGTGCAGTGGCTCACGCCTGTAATCCCAGCACTTTGGGAGGCCAAGGCAGGTGGATCACCTGAAGTCAGGCGTTCTAGACCAGCCTGACCAATATGGTGAAATCCCATCTCTACTAAAAAAACAAAAATTAGCAGGGCGTGGTGGCATGCACCTGTAGTCCCAGCTACTCAGGAGGCTGAGACAGGAGAATTGCTTGAACCCAGGAGGCAGAGGCTGTACTGAGCTAAGATGGTGCCACTGCGCTCCAGTCTGGGCAACAGAGCAAGACTCCATCTCAAAAAAAATAAAAAGAAATTATGCTTCCTTAAGGCCAATTTTCTGTCCTGAAATTATCACCAAGAACCTAACCAATAATTATTTACTTCAAACTTTTCAGGATTTCATTCAAAAAACAATGCTTCCTTTTAAATGTTCCCAAATTCCGTTATTTTAGAGTTACTCTATAGTTCTTCTTTTTTTTGAGACGGAGTCTAGCTCTGTCGCCCAGGCTGGAGTGCAGTGGCCAGATCTCAGCTCACTGCAAGCTCCGCCTCCCAGGTTTACGCCATTCTCCTG